TTTTTTTTTGCCAGTAGAGTCAGCTTTCCTTATCCATGGATTCTGCATGTGCAGATTCAACCATCGATAAAAAATATTCAGAAAAGAAACCCAATAAAATAACAGTATAGCAATAAAAAGGATACAAATTTTAAAAATGTAACAATTATTTACATAACATTTACATTGTATTAGGTGTTATAAATAAGAGATTATTTACAGTATATAGTAGGATATATATATAAGGTTATATGCAAATACATGTCATTTCATATGAGGAACCTACAAATCTGTAGATTCTGGTATCTGTGAGGGATTCTGCAGGCAATCCCCTGTGTATGCCAATGGATGAATGAACCATTTTCTTTTGATTACTTTAGCTTTGTAATACAATTTTAAATAAAAAAGTATGTTGCCTCCAGCTTTGTTCTTTCTGCTTAAGATTACTTGAGCTATTTGAGATCTTTTATGATTCTGTGTGAATTTTAGAATTTTCTATTTTGGTGAAGAATGACATTGGAATTTTGATATTGTATTGAATCTATCAACTAAATAACACAGAGAGGCCGTCTAAAAATATTGAGCTTAATTAGGAATGAGCAGGAAATTTGCAAATACAGGACATACAGGCTATGACAGATCATAGGCATATCTAGGGAGATAAAGGAAGGCACAAGTTTTTAAAGGTAAAATGAGAAAGTTCACCTAACTTGTTTTAAAATAATAATCTTTGACTACGAGGATCAGTAAGGGTAGTGTCAGTCCAAGGCTGATCAGTCTGTTGCTGGCCAGATGTCTTTGTAGAAGGGTTTTTTTTGCAACGTTGGTCTTTATTCAAGTCTGTGGTTCTGGCAGAGTCTCTTCGGGTAGTTCTTGTTATCTGGCAAATATGTGTGAGAACTCTCTCTTCCTGGCCTTCCCCAGCTTAGTTTTGTGAGAGTTTGACACAAGTGACTCCATTTTGATTTTGACAACGTTCACAAATACGTAGATCACTTTGAATAGTATGAACCTTTTAACAGTATTAATTTTTCCAGTCCATGAACACAGGATATCTTTATGTCCTCTACAGTTTGGTTCATCAATGTTTTATAGTTTTTAGTTTACAGATCTTTTTTTCCTTGGTTAAATTTATTCCTAAGTATTTTATTCTTTTTGATGCCATTGTAAATGGGATTGTTTTCTTGATTTCTTTTTTGGATTGCTTGTTTTAAGTGTATAGAATGTAACTGGTTTTGTCTGTTGATCTTGTATACAGAAACCTTGCTGAATATGTCTGTTCTGAGAGTATTTGGTGGAGAGTTTAGGGTTTTTGCAAAGGCCCTTAATGAAAGAGAAAATTTGTGTCTCAGGCTTTCTATTTTAATAATTGTGATTAATTGTAACATGTAGTTTACTATTCATTAACAGTAAAAATATAGTTATTAGAAGGCTGATGTATTAGAATCTTTTGAGATTTTTCAAATCCAATTAAACTTGTGATTCTTTTTTTTTT